GGAGCTTGGGTAAAACTCCACATTGTGAGTCCTTCAGAGAATTGTATTTATTGAAATACATTTTGACCTCAGTCTTTTGGCCTGCCTTGGGAATTAGCTCTACAAATCTTGCTTTACTGATTTGAAAGTATTGTGGTTTTTAAAAATGTTTTTGTTTAAATTCCAATTAGTTAAGATACAGTGTAATATTAGTTTCAGGTGTACAATGTAGTGATTAACACTTCCATACAACACCCAGTGTTCATTACAATAAGTGCACCCCTTAATCCCTATCACCTATTTCACCCATCCCCCCACCTCCACTCTGGTAACCATCAGTGTATTATCTATAGTTAAGAGTCTGTTTCTTGGTTACTCTGTCTCTCTCTCTCTCTCGGCTCATTTGTTTTGTTTCTTAAATTCCATATGCGAGTGAAATCATATGGTATTTGCCTTTCTCTGATTGGCTTATTTCTCTTAGTATAATACCCTCTAGCTTCATCCATGTCATTGCAAATGTCAATAATTCATTCTTTTTGATGGCTTAGTAATATTCTATTGTGTATATATATGTATATATATATATATACTATATCTTCCTTATCCGTTCATCAATTGGTGGACATTTGGGCTCTTTTCAAAAGTTGGCTATTGTAGATAATGCTGCTATAAACATCAGGCTACATGTATCCCTTCAAATTAGTATTTTGGTATTCTTTGGGTAAATACCTAGTGGTGCAATTGCTGAATCATAGGATAGTTCTATTTTTAACTTTTTGAGGAACCTCCATAATGTTTTCCAGAGTGGCTGCACCAGTTTGCATTCCCATCAGTGCAAAAGTTCCATTCTTCACAACGTCACCAGCACCAGTTGTTTCTTGTGTTATTGAGTTTAGCCATTCTGACAGGTGTGAGGTGATATCTCATAGTAATTTTGATTTGCATTTCCCTGATAATCAATAATGTTGAGCATCTTTCCATATCTATTGGCCATCAGTATGTCTTCTATAGAAAAATGTCTATTCAAGTCTTTTGCCATTTTTAATAGAATCATTCATTTTTTGGATGTTGAGTTTTATAAATTCTTTATATATTTTGAATACTAACCCTTTATCAGGCATGACATTTGCAAATATCTTTTCCCATTCCATAGGTTGTGTCTTAGTTTTGTTGACTGTTACCTTTGCAGTGCAGAAGATTTTTATCTTGATGAAGTCCCAATAGTTCATTTTTGCTTTTGTTTCCCCCTGCCTCCAGAGATGTATCTAGAAAGAAGTTGGTATGGCTGATGTCAAGCTATTGTCTCTTGGATTTTTCTGGTTTGAAGTCTCACATTTAGGTCTTTAATCCATTTTGAATTTATTTTTGTATATGTTGTAAGAAAGTGGCTCAGTCTCATTCTTTTGCATGTTGCTATCCAGTTTTCCCAACACCATTAGTTGAAGAGACTCTTTTTCCCACTGAATATTCTTTCCTGCTTTGATAAAGATTAATTGACCATATCATTATGGGTTCATTTCTGGGTTTTCTATTCTCTTCTATTGATCTATGTACCTATTTTTTGCCAGTACCACACTGTCTTAATTACTACAGCTTTGTAATATAACTTGAAGTTGGTAATTGTGATATATCCAGTTTTGTTTTTTCTTTTTCAAGGTTTCTTTGGCTAGTCATGGTCTTTTGTGGTTCCATACAAATTTTAGAATTGTTTGTTCTAGCTCTGTGAAAAATGTTGGTATTTTTATAGTGATTGCATTAAATGTATAGATTGCTTTGGGTGGCATAAACATTTTAACAATATTTTTCTTCTAAGCCATGGCCATTCAAAGTCATTGTTTCCTTGTTTATTTTCTCTTTAGATTATCTGTCCACTGATATAAGTGGGGTGTTAAGGTCCCCTACCTTTATTGTGCTATTATCAATTGTTCTTTTTTGTCTGTTACTGTTTTATGTATTTGGGTGATTGCATATTGAGTGCATAAATATTTATAATTGTATATTCTTGTTGGACTGTCCTCTTTATGATTATATAATGCCCTCCTTCGTCTCTTTTAACAATGTTTGTCTTAAAGTCTAGTTTGTCTGATATAAGAATTGCTACTCTAGCTTTCCTTTGACATCCATTTGCATGAAAGATGTTTCTCTATCCTCTCACTTTCAATCTGCTGGTGCCTTTAGGTCTAAAATGAGTCTCTTGTAGGCAGCATATAGATGGGTCTTGGTTTTTTTATCCATTCTGACACTCTATGTCTTTATATTAGACCATTTAATCCATTTATATTCAAAATAATTATTGATAGATAGATATATATTTATTTCCCCTTTAATACTTCTTTTGTGGTTGTTTCTGGAGATTTTCTCTGATCCTTTCTTGTCTGTTACTTTTGGTCTGTCTTTTGCACTTAAAGAGTCTCTTTTAATATTTCTTGCAGGCCTGGTTTACCGGACACAAACTCCTTTCATTTTTTGTTTGTCTGGGGTAATTTTTATCTATCTTTCCATTCTGAAAGATGGGCCTTATTGGAATATTCCTGGCTGCAGATCTTCCCCATTCAGCACATTGAATTTATCAGCCACTATTTTCTGGCTTGCTAAGTTTCTGTTGAGAAATCTCCAACTAGTCTTATGAGTTTTATCTTGTAAGTTAAGCACTTTTTGTCTTGCTGCTTTTAAGATTTTTTTTCTTTATCACTATATTTGACAACTGTAATTACAATGTCTTGGTGCTGGCCTACTTTTGTTGATTTTGATGGGAGTACTCAGTGCCTCCTGGACCTGGATACCTGTTTCCTTCCCCTTATTAGGAAGTTTGCTGCTATTACTTCTTGAAATAAATTTTCTGCCCCCTTTTTTCTCTCTCTTCTTCTTCTGGGACTCCTATAATACAAATGTTATTATATTTGATGGAGTCATTGATTTCCCTAAGTCTACTCTTATGTTCCATAATTCTTCTTTCTCTCTGTTGTTCAGCTTCATTATTTTCCATTATTTTGTCTTCTAGGTCACTAAGTCATTCCTCTACTTTTTCCAGCCTGCTGGTCACTGTATCAAGTCTGTTTCCAATCTTGTTTAGTGTATTCTTCATCTCTGATTGAGTATTTTTTTAACTCTTTTATCTCTTTGGTAAGGGTCTCCCATCAGTATGTTTTTTAGTCTTTTCTCAAGCCCAGTGAGTATCCTTATGATTATTGCCATAAATTCTCCATCAGGCATGTTACTTATATCTGCTTTGCTTAGATCTCTGGCTGTGGCCTTATCTTGCCTTTTCACTTGGGATGCATTCCTCTATCTCAGCATTTTGCCTAAGTCTTTGCCTTTCTCTCTGTTTTAGAAAAGACAGTTATGTCTCCTGTTCCTGAAAGTAATGGTGTTATAAAGAAGAGGTCATGTAGTGCCCGGGCCCTAGCACTTCAGAGGGTGTCTCTGGTGTGCTGCATGTGTTCTGTTGTGGTGGTGGTGGCTGCTTTATCCTTCAGGTCAGTTATTTACAGGGGCTCCTCGCCTTCAGTGGGCAGTGTTTGGTCCCCAGCCTGAATGTGGTGAGTTTTAACTAGGCGTGCTCTGGTCTGCTTGTGAAATGAGACCTGATACCAACTCTACCAGAACTGAGGCCCTGCAGAACTCTCTGGTCAGGATATATGGTAGGGGCAGGGATTCTTGCTGGTCTTCTAGAGGAAGGGACTGTCACTCTGGGACCAAGGCAAGCTTGACTCAGGACAGTCCTGCTGGAGTGCAAGGTGGTGGGCCTTGGTGTAGGCAGATTAGTCAACCAATGTCTGTGCTGAGTGGCTTCCTGCAGGTGGCTCTGTGTTTAGGCTGAGGTGTGGGGGAAGAAAGTGCCAGATAAGCCTATAATCTTTAAAACTCCAGGCTTTAAGTCCTGCTGGTTGAAAGAGCTCATAAAAATCAGCCCCTCTCATTTTCCAAGCCAATGGCTTTGGAAAAACATTCTCCTTGTAACATTCCCATGTGTCCATGTGTTCTTCTCTTTCTCACCTTTCTCTGTGACCATGGCTCCCTCCCTCCCACAGCATCTTTGATCCATTTCTCCCACAAACCACATCTCCACCCTTCTACCTTCCTTGGCATAGCCTCTTCTCTTTCTTTAGTTGTGGAGTTTGTTCTGCCAGTTTTCAGGTCAATTTCTGGGCTATTTAGGATGATTTGATAGTTACCTGGTTGTGTTTGTGGGATGAGATGAGCCTAGCTATTTTCCTCCCTCTGATCCCTGAAGGATGTTGTTGAGGACTTATCTGTTACCTGTTGTATCTATGGTTCCCGAATATGGCTGCATAAGAAAATCATCTGGAGAAGTGCTGGAGAGAACGACAAACAAATGAAACTCCAAACACTGCTAAGGGAATGTAAAACAGTTCAGCCACTTTGGAAAAACAGTTTGGCAGGTTTTTTTTTAATAAATTTAGACATATGCTTACTACATGACCATGCAAATGCACTTCTACATGTTTAGTCAAGAAGCATAAAAGTGTTTGCTCAAAGGCAATCGTCAAAGCACCTCACATGTATTGATTTATCCAGCTGTCACAACCACTCTAGGGGACAGGCACTATATATGAGGAAACTATGGCAATTTTATATGTGAGGAAAGCAAGGCACAGAGGAGTGAAGTAACTTGCCCAACATCATGTAGTTTCTAAGGTGGCAGCCTCAGGTTTGTTGTGGTTAGAACTTAACCTCAAAGATGTTCATGCAGTTTAGATAATATATGTGGTAATTTTAGTGCATCCTTAATTACTGGTATGCTGGGTGAAAGCAAAATTAAAATTTCATAAAGATTGTTTAAAGTCTAGAAAATATTTAAAAAATAATTTTGGAAACAGGCACCTGTGCTTTCTGCCAGTCTTATTCTTCTTAGGAGTTAGTAAGGAGTTCAGTGAATGGGGCAACAATAAAATCACAGGAACAAAGACCTGAACTAAACTGCCTGTTGTGTCTGTTTTGTGTCTTTGTGTGTTTTCCATTGCTTCTCATTCCGTGATATTTCTTGATCCTGTCTTTAGGTTGAGGCCAAGATGTTCCACTTACAAGGCTCACAAGTGCTGCAGATGCTAGAGAAATCCTTGAGGAAGAACCTGCCAGAGTCCTTAAAGGTGACATTCTTGAGCGGGGGGCAGGGGGGTTCGGAGGACTAGCAACTGCTTATGAAAGAAGTAGGAATGAGAATAAACATTCTCCAGGCACCTACTCTGTGCCAGGCACTCACTCCTCTTGCATTTCATTTAGCTTACATCACCTCACTGCAAGGCAAGTCTGCTATATCCATGTCACCAAAGAGAAAATGCAATCTCAGTTTTAGAACTTGACCAAGACCATACCACTAGTGAGTAGGAATCATATAATTTAAATCCACTATGATCTTTGCTGTGTGATGACCAAAAAATATTTCTTTGTGCCATTCTAAGTGTTATATTATCTGACACTGGAAGATTTCCCAGAATTGCACAGGTGACTGAACAAACACACTAATGTTTAGCTTATTCTTTCTAAACAATCAAGTGCCTGACAAAAGTTAGCCGTTATGATTCTTCTTTAAAATTAACAATATGCGGTCGGGCGGTTTGAACGAGACGAAGACGGAATCGAAGCCGGGCACAGGCAGTGGACGCGCGGTCCCGCCGAGAGCCGAAGATGGCAGTGAACATATACTCAACGTCCGTCACCAGTGATAACCTAAGTCGACATGATATGCTGGCCTGGATCAATGAGTCTCTGCAGCTGAATCTCACAAAGATTGAACAGTTGTGCTCAAGGGCTGCCTATTGTCAGTTTATGGACATGCTATTCCCTGGCTCCATTGCCTTGAAGAAAGTGAAATTCCAGGCTAAACTAGAGCATGAATACATCCAGAACTTCAAAATACTACAAGCAGGTTTTAAGAGAATGGGTGTTGACAAAATAATCCTGTGGACAAATTAATAAAAGGAAAGTTTCAGGACAATTTTGAATTTGTTCAGTGGTTCAAGAAGTTTTTTGATGCAAACTATGATGGAAAAGACTATGACCCTGTAGCTGCCAGACAAGGTCAAGAAACTGCAGTGGCTCCCTCCCTTGTTGCTCCAGCTCTGAACAAACCGAAGAAACCTCCCAGCTCTAGCAGTGCAGCTCCACAGAGGCCCATTGCAACACACAGAACTACTGCAACCCCTAAGGCTGGCCCGGGTGTGGTGCGAAAGAATCCTGGTGTGGGCAACGGGGATGATGAAGCAGCTGAATTGGTGCAGCAGGTCAATGTATTGAAACTTACCGTCGAAGACTTGGAGAAAGAGAGAGATTTCTACTTTGGAAAGCTAAGAAACATTGAATTGATTTGCCAGGAGAGCGAAGGGGAAAACAACCCTGTATTGCAGAGGATCGTGGACATTCTCTATGCACAGATGAAGGCTTTGTGATACCTGATGAAGGGGACCCACAGGAGGAACAAGAAGAGTATTAACAGCCTGGACCAGCAAAGCAACATCCGAATTCTTCACTCCAAATCATGTGCTTAACTGTAAAAGATCCCCTTTTATTATTCTTAGAGGACTCACTGGTTTCTTTTCATGAGCAAAGAGTACCTCTTCTTAAAGCGCACTTTGCAGAAGTTTCACCCCTTTTCCAATGAGTTTGAGTTAGGAGCTTTTACCCTGTAGCAGAGCAGTATTAACATCTAGTTGGGTCACCTGGGGAACAGAGAGGCTGACCATGGGGCTCACTGTGTGGATGCTGGTAACACTCACTGCTGGAGAAGGTGCTTTTATGTCATACACTGAGGTGGAGTACTCAATAGAGAAATGTAAAGACTGATTTGAATTTTAAGCTAATGTGAAATTTTGGCAGAGAACGTTTTAAAAATAAATGCCTTAATAGTATTTAAAATATGCTTCCATATTTCAAAATATAAAATGTACCATGACAGGAGATTTTACATGTTTGACATGGTGTCTAGGAAGGAAGGGCCAGACCTCTGGACCTTTGGAATCTGCTGTTCACAGGCCTTACAGGGCTGCTTGAATCCTCAAAGACCTAGACCTTGGCTCAAAAGGGAAGTTTAAAAAGTTGCTCTGTAAAGCCATTTGGTGTCCTTGACCAATCCTATCCCTCCTCTAAGAAGCAAGAGGCATTGTTGCCTGGATGAATAGAGGGCACGTTTCAGCCCTGAGATGTTGAAGAGCTTGAATTCATTGAACATTTCTCTGACGATTTTTCCAGTTATCCCTGAAATTTCTATGTATTGTGTTTTTGGGAAATGAGGTGTGTCCAATTTCTAAATCTAACAACTACTTTTGGGGACTTGCCCACATCTCTGGGATTTAAATGGGGGTCATGTCCCATTTTACTGTCTTTTAAGTTTACATTGAACATGTTTCTCTTCTCTGCTCCCTGTGCCCACTGGGGACTCCTCTTTGGCTCCTTAAAGTTTGCTGCTTAGAGTGTAAGTTCAGCAGGCAGGTGGTCACGCTGCAAGTCTTTCTGGACCTCTGGCAAAGGGAATGACCAGTGAAGGCCATCGCTACCTTAGGGTCTGCAAGGCTGGGTGTTCTCGGTACCTGCTGTCCACCACCCTCCACTGTTATCGGAATACTTTGCCAGTGCACTAATCTCTTTGGAGATAAAATTTGTTAGCATGTTACTAAATGTTAATTTTCTTTTGCAGAAGATACAGTACCATGTCTGAATTAATTATTAATATTTAAAATATTTCATTCCTTAACTCTTCCTCATTGCTTTGCCCCTAGCCTATTCAGTTCCTTTGTTTGGCAGAATTCTGCAAAATGTGTGTCACCCACTACTGAGATTGTTCAGCCCCTGATGTATTTGTATTGATTTGTTCCTGGTGGTAGCTTGTCCTAAAATGTGTGTAGAAAGCAGATATTTTATGATAAAATTGTTGTATAGTGCATGCTCTGTGTGGAATTCAGAGGAAAACCCAGATTCAGTGATTAACAATGCCAAAAAATGCAAGTAACTAACCATTGTTCAAATAACAGTGGTGCTATTTCTCTTTTGTGGCCTTTTAGACTTTTGTTGCCCTAAAATACCATTTTATTGGGAACCCATTTTCCACCTGGTCTTTCTTGACAGGGTTTTTTTCTACTTTAAACAGTTTCTAAATAAAATTCTGTATTTCAAAAAAAAATAAAATTAAATTAAATTAACAATATGCAATTTCTATTTTGTCAAATCCCAAAAGATTATGTTTAATATAGGAAGAGATAGAAATTTGGTTTTAGAAATAGACCAACTATCTTGTATATAAAGAGGTGGGGCTTTTTTTGGGGGGGGAATAATATATGTTGCAAAGGGACTAGAATATTACCAGGGATAAAGAGTCCCATTGCATTATAGTAAAGGTATCAATTCACCAAGAAGACATTAAAAATGCCGAAATCTCTACCTCACAAAAAAGGTTCAGAGGACATGAACCAAAAACTGATAGAACTGAAAGAACAAATAGATAAACCCACACATGTAATTAAAAATTTTAACACTTCTCTCTGAGTAATTAATAGAATAGGAAGAAAACATATAATCTATACAGAAGACCTGAAAAATACTATGAACCAACTTCATTCATTGACATTTATAGAGTATGTCCTTCAACAATAGCAGAATGCACATTCTTTCCAAGTGCACATGGAATGTGTTCAAAAGTAGACCATGTTTTAAAGACTTTTTAAATCATTGAAATCATAACAGGCATGTCCTTCATATGTATAATTTTTTTGAAAATCTTTTTTTTAAAATAAATTTATTTTTTATTGGTGTTCAATTTGCCAACATACAAAATAACACCCAGTGCTTATCCCGTCAAGTGCCCACCTCAGTGCCCACCACCCAGTCACGCCCATCCCCCGCCCACCTCCCCTTCCACCACCCCTAGTTCGCTTCCCAGAGTTAGGAGTCTTTCATGTTCTATCTCCCTTTCTGATATTTCCCACTTATTTTTTCTCCTTTCCCCTTTATTCCCTTTCACTATTTTTTATATTCCCTAAATGAATGAGACCATATAATGTTTGTCCTTCTCTGATTGATGCCAGGACACCTGCACCCTGATGTTTATAGCAGCAATGTCCACAAGAGCCAAACTGTGGAAGGAGCCTCGGTGTCCATTGAAAGATGAATGGATAAAGAAGATGTGGTTTATGTATACAATGGAATATTACTCAGCCATTAGAAATGACAAATACTCAAATGTACTATATTAAGCTTTAAGAAACCCTGAAAAGGGGATCCCTGGGTGGCGCAGCGGTTTGGCGCCTGCCTTTGGCCCAGGGCGCGATCCTGGAGACCCGGGATCGAATCCCACGTCAGGCTCCTGGTGCATGGAGCCTGCTTCTCCCTCTGCCTGTGTCTCTGCCTCTCTCTCTCTCTGTATGACTATCGTAAATAAATAAAAAAAAAAAAATTAAAAAAAAAAAAAAGAAACCCTGAAAAGTATCTAGAAAAACCTTGCCAATTTTAGAAATTATACAACACATTTCCAAATAAACCATACTTCAAAGTCACAAGGAGAATTAGAAAGCATTTGAGTCGAATAAAAATGAAAGCGCGAGATATCAAAAGTGTTGGGATGCAGCCAAAGCAGTGATAAGTGGAAAATATATAGCATATAATGCTATTCCAAAAAATAATAATAATAATGGTCTCAAATCCATGATTTAAGTTTCCACCTGAAAAAGAAGAATAAATTAACTCCAAAGCAAACAGAATTAAGGAAATTATAAAAGATAAAAGCAGAAACCAATGAATTTGAGAGGAGAAAACCAATTAAGAAAATCAAAACGGATGAAAGATCTTAATGTGAGACAAGAATCCATCAAAATCCTAGAGGAGAACACAGGCAACACCCTTTTTGAACTTGGCCACAGTAACTTCTTGCAAGATAAGTCCATGCAAGTCCTTGAAGGCAAGAGAAACAGAAGCAAAAACGAACTATTGGGACTTCATCAAGATAAGAATCTTTTGCACAGCAAAAGAAACAGTCAACAAAACTAAAAGACAACCTACAGAATGGAAGAAGATATTTGCAAATGACCTATCAGATAAAGGGCTAGTATCCAAGATCTGTAAAGAACTTATTAAACTCAACAGCAAAGAAACAAACAATCCAATCATGAAATGGGCAAAAGACATTAACAGAGATCTCACAAGGGAAGACATAGACATGGCCAACAAGCACATGAGAAAATGCTCCGCATCGCTTGCCATCAGGGAAATACAAATGAAAACCACAATGAGATACCACTTCACACCAGTGAGAATGGGGAAAATTAACAAGGCAGGAAACCACAAATGTTGGTGAGGATGTGGAGAAATGGAAACCCTCTTGCACTGTTGGTGGGAATGTGAACTGCTGCAGCCACTCTGGAAAACTGTGTGGAGGTTCCTCAAAGAGTTAAATAGATCTGTCCTATGACCCAGCAATTGCACTGCTGGGGATTTACCCCAAAGATACAGATGCAGTGAAATGCCGGGACACCTGCACCCCGATGTTTATAGCAGCAATGTCCACAATACCTAAACTGTGGAAGGAGCCTCGGTGTCCATCAAAAGATGAATGGATAAAGAAGATGTGGTCTATATATACAATGGAATATTCCTCAGCCATTAGAAACGACAAATACCCACCATTTGCTTCGATGTGGATGGAACTGGAGGGTATTATGCTGAGTGAAATAAGTCAATCGGAGAAGGACAAACATTATATGGTCTCATTCATTTGGGGAATATAAAAAATAGTGAAAGGGAATAAAGGGGAAAGGAGAAAATGTGAGTGGGAAATATCAGAAAGGGAGACAGAACATGAGAGACTCCTAACTCTGGGAAACGAACAAGGGGTGGTAGAAAGGGAGGTGGGCGGGGGGTGGGGGTGACTGAGTGATGGGCACTGAGGGGGGCACTTGATGGGATGAACACTGGGTGTTATTCTATATATTGGCAAATTGAACACCAATAAAAAATAAATTAAAAAAATAAAAAAAAATAAAAGAAAATCAAATTTCTGGCTCATTGAAAAGATCAGTGTTATTGATAAACTTCTGAATCAGAAATTCAGAGAGAAGACACAAATCAAATCAGGAATGAAATAGGGGACATTAATACCAACCCCATAAACGTTATAGGGATAATAAGGACGTACCATTATCAACACTATGCCCATAGATTTTACAATTTATGTTCTGTGAAATGTACAGATTACCAGTGATCATTAAAGAAGAAAAATATAACCTAAATAAAAAATATATGTAACCTAAATCATACTGTATCTATTGCAGAAATTGAGTTCATAATTTAAAACTTTCCAACAAAAAAAAATACCATTTCTCAGAAGACTTTCATGGGAATTTCTACCACACATGTAAGGAAGAAATAGTATCAATTCTATGTAAACCTTTGCAGAATAGATCAGAGGAGGAAACACTTCCCAACTCATTTTATGAGTCCAGAATTACCCTGATATCAAAACCAGAGTGGATTTTATTTAAAAAAGAGAACTAGAGAACAATATCCCTCATGAATATAGATGCAAAAATCCTCAACAAAATACTATCAAGTCAAATCCATTAATATATCAAAAGAATAATATATTATAAACAAGGGGAATTTATCTTGAGAATGCAAGGCAGGCTCAACATTCAAAGATCAATCAGTGTATTTCATTGTATCAATAGATTAAAGAATGGGGAGCCCGGTGGCGCACCGGTTTAGCGCCGCCTGCAGCCCGGGGAGTGATCCTGGAGACTTGGGATAGAGTCCCATGTCAGGCTCTCTGCATGGAGCCTGCTTCTCCCTCCCTCTTTCTCTCTCTCGCTCTCTCTCTCTCTCTCTCTCTCTCTCTCTCTCTCTTTCTCTCTCTCAATGTATAAATAAATCTTTAAAAAATAGATTAAAGAAAAAAGTCAGATGATTTTCTCTTAAAAGATGCAGAAAAATTTGAACTGGAATTCTTTCATATGATGGATATTATGTAGTTATTAAAAATGCTTAAATAGATTTGTGTTTATTGACATGGAAATATGCCCAAAACATAGTGTGTATGTGTATGGGGGGTGTGTTAAACTAATATATGTTAGATAATTTCATTGCTTAAAATTGTATGTGTATTTGTCAATAAGTAAAATGGAAATATATAACACTAGGTTCTACAATGTGATAGTGGATGATTTTTAATTAATTTATTTATCTAGATATTTAACTGTATTCATATAATGTTCTTTTTTAAATTTTTTTTTAATTTTTATTTATTTATGATAGAGAGAGAGAGAGAGAGAGAGAGAGAGAGAGACATAGGCAGAGGGAGAGGCTCCATGCACCGGGAGCCCAATGTGGGATTCGATCCCGGGTCTCCAGGATCGTGCCCTGGGCCAAAGGCAGGCGCCAAACCGCTGTGCCACCCAGGGATCCCCATATAATGTTCTTGTGGTTTGACCCCCAAACCTATTTCTATTTGGAGTGATAAAATTAATCTGAAGGTGATTTGAACTAAATGCCCTATCAGTTATCACCTTGATTTCATAGAGATAATCCTTGTCCTGATCAAACAAGGCACTTTACCATCCTTTCTTAATAAGCTGACCCTCTGTCTTTCTCTGGATGTTACAGGTTTATGGGACCATCTTCCACATGAACCAGGGAAACCCATTCAAGCTAAAGGCCCTGGTAGACAAGTGGCCTGATTTTACAACAGTGGTTACCTGCCCTCAGGAAGAGGTAAGGTGCCAGATGTGGAGTGAGTATGCTTCTGTGTTCTTATTTGTTATAAGAACCTGGAAATGTGGTAGACCTAGGGGATTTTTAGGACATCACATGTCCAATAAGGGGTTAATATCCAAAATATATAAAGAACTTACACAACTCAACACCAAAAAACCAAATAACCCAAACAAAAAATAGGTAGAGGACTGAATAGACATTTATCCAAAGAAGACATTGAGATGGGCAACAGACTGATGAAAAGATACTCAATATCACTACTCATCAGGAAAACGCAAATTTATACCCCAATGAGATATCAGGTTCCTCAAAAAATTAAAAATTAAATTACCATATGATCCAATAATTCCACGATTGGGTATTTACCCAAAGAGAGTGAAAATACTAATTTGAAAAGATATGTGCCCCCCTGTGTTTATTGCGGGATTATTACAATGAGAAAGATATGGAAGCAATCCATGTATCCATCGATACATGAATGGATAAAGAACATGTTTTATATATCTATAAATATAGCTTTATATAGAAAAAATGTATTATACATATAATGGAATATTAGTCATAAAAAGAATGAAATCTTGTTATTTGCAACAACATGGACGGACTTAGAGGGTATAATGTTAAATGAAATAAATCAGTCAGAGAAAGACAAATACCATACAATTTCATTCATGTGGGATTTAAGAAACAAAACAAACAAAAAAGAGACAAAAAAACAGATTCTTAAATACAGAAAAAAGAAAATCCTGGTGGTTGCCAGACGGGAAGGGGATGGGAAGATGGGTGCAATAGGTGAAGAGGGTTAAGAGTACATTTAATGCGATGAGCACTGATTAATGTATACAATTGTTGAATCATTATATTGTACACCTGAAACTAATATAACACTGTATATTAATTATACTTAAATTAAAACTTTTTAAATTAAAAAAAGAAAAATAAAGACATTGTGTGTCTTTGTTTTGTGTAGCTATATCACATATAAGTAAAAATTGACACAAGGTTACCTGTGTCAATTTCAACATTGTTATGTTTATAATCCATTTGTCCTGAGACTCTTTTTTTGAGACTCTTTTAAATAGAGTAAGATTTACCCTTTCAGTGGAAGCTTGCCTTTGATAGTAATACATTCTTTCTCCTGAGAATTATAAAATTACAGAAGGATGCTTTCTAAACCAGTGCATATTTGGTTGATTTGAAATTGTAACACAACATAGTTAGTTCAGCAAATTTTCCTTAACCATAAATTGAGTAATCAACTAAATCCCTGACTTGCTCTCATGATGTAAGGATTCAGGAATAATGATAGTACATCAAGAAAAATAGCAGTGTTTACAAGTTTATAAGATAGCACAGTATAATGAAATACTAAAGCCAAGTATTCTAATCACTGGGTATGATCAATTTTATTTACTCCACATTACCTAACCAAATAGGAAATGGCAGATGATTTTGATCACTATACCAATACCTACCAAATCTATTCTAAGAATCCCCAAAACTGTCAAGAATTCCTTGGTGCATCAAGTGTCATCAACTGGAAACAACATTTGCAGATCCAAAGTAAGTAAGGGATGTGGGATGTGTGCTGGCTTCTGTGACTGTTCACAGCTACCCTGCAGGGTCACTTTTCATCCTGAGAACATTCCCCCACAGACTTTCCTTCCTCTACCAAACCCCACTTAGCTAGGTGTTCATTCTTTACACCAGCTGCTGCCACCTCTTCAGTGGACTAGAATTCAAACATTCCAAACTACGGGCTTGATACAAGGAACTGTGAGTAATGGAATTTCTTGTTAGCTGAGGATTCATGATAGACTCTACAGACATATACAGGGTCCCTGAGGGTGATCAGGTGTGAGAGCAGAGCTCCCCCGCTGGCCTTGAATTTCTGGAATAAGAATGACAGTTCCCTGTGCCAGAGAGCACCTCCAGGTCACAAGAACTACTACAGTGGTTGCGAGCATGCCCTCCACAGTCAGATTCTCTAGGGTGTCATCCTTGCTCTGCCTGTTACTTGCTTTGTGATTTGAGCAAGTGATGTAACTTATTATTTAGTTTCTTCGTATGTAAAAAAATGAGGGTAGTAGAAGTACCTAGAACATAGAGTCAGTGGAAGAATTAAATGTGGTATTAGACCAATACCTGGGCATGAAGTATGTGAACACTCAAGGTTAACTTCTATTTTGAAAATAACATGTCTCCATTGATCTCATAGTGATATAGTCAGGATTTTTAGTATTATCTGCTTGCATAAGGGAGTGACTTGGGCATGGTCACATGGTTAATGGCAACACCAGAAGCAACACTGCCTGACTTTAAATTCTGCATACTTCGACCAAGAAGCTTCTGTAGCATCTACATGGGCAATTGCTTCTCACCTTACCTTACTCTGCTCTAGGTACCCAGTCCAGCCTGAACGAAGTGATACAGAACCTTGCAGCTGCTAACCTGGTCAAGGTCAACCAACAACAAGGCATTGTGTATACAATGCCCGAGAGAGCAAGTAAACTGCTCCCTTCTTTGCTGGAGGCAAAGAACTTACCTCTTGAATCTGGCAGAGCCAAGACCATGTGAGTTTAAAAAAAGATGTTCTGCATTACTCTCACCTTTCTGTATGGAAGTGGCCTCCCAACTTCTCTCCCTGTGTTCACTTATGCCCTCCAACAATCCAATTCCAGAGTGATCCTTTTGGTCTGTCACATGGATTATGTCAATTCATCCACCTAAAAGCCATCAGTGTTTCTCAGCTAACATGACCATTACAGACATTCAGGGCCCCCTAGGATCCACAATCCACCATGTCTTGGACTCCATCTTGTCCCTCTTGCTTACTCCCACCACCCACTCTGTCCTTTTTTCTGTGCCTTTCTCTCATACACTCACTCACACATGCCTTTGGACCACTGCATTTGTTTTTTGTTTTTTTTTTCCCTAAAATGTCCTTTCCCCTGATCTTTACATATCTGCTTCTTTTTTTTTTGCCATTCATTCTCTCAAATGTCATTTCCTTAGAGAGTTCTCCTCAGAGAGCCTAAAACATCCCTTCCCATAATTCTTCATTGCAAAACCAAATTTTTATTTTCCTCAGTGAACTTATCACCATCTAAAATTATCTGTGTATTTATAGGCCCGTTTGTTGTTGGATCCTCCCCTGTGACATTTAAAACTCCACAAGAGCAGGGGACACTATGTTGTTCATCAATAAGTCTTCAGTAGCCAGAACAGAACACAAAGTAGATGCTTCAAAAATACGCGACGAGTTTACGTCTCAGAGCAAAAGTTCTCCAATAAAGAGAACTTCAACATGTTATATATGTCCCTCCACCAATGCCTGAATAGAATTAAAACTGATACGGGGATTTGATCTGGAGATGTCTGATCCTATGGCTCTCTCTGTGTTAATATGCCTGGACAGGCTTTATTCACACTGTATTGCACCTTGTGCCTGATGGACCCTCCAAATCTATGATCTCATTTGATTCTCTTGTTCATCCCATGAGATAGACAAGGGACTCTCACTTTCCTGACAGAAAATAGGTTCAGTGGATGAAACAGCTCGTTCGGGTCACATGGATGGCTAAGGGCGTCACCGGGGCTCACTGCTCCACCTCCTGCTTCCACATTGTGGGCTCTTTCCAGGACACCTCCTTGTACACCACCTCAGTGGCCTTCAGACTTCAGCGTTCTGTAACCCAGGGCCTGCCTACACTTCACATCACTACCTCTCCCTGGATTTTGGCTTTCCCACAATGGTCAAGGACCCTCTGACACCAATATACAAAGATTCCAGGATTCCAAGCTCTGGCGTGACACCTTGCTAGCATATACTTTGAGGCACTTGTTTTTCTGCTTTCCTATTCTTATGTGTAAAACACGGATGTTATCAATTCTCCCATCTAAAGTGGATAGTCACAGCGATGTTGAGAAGAATAATGCTTAATTTTTGTGTAGTTCTTATTTTTTAAATATTTTATTTCTTTATTCATGAGAGACACAGAGAGAACAGCAGAGACATAGGCAGAGGGAGAAGCAGGCTCCCTTCGGAGAGCCGGATGTGGGACTGGATCCCAGGCCCCCAGGATCACGACCTGAGCCAAAGGCAGATGCTTAACCATTGAGCTACCCAGGTGCCTCTGTAATTCTTATTTTTTTGTGTGGCACAAATCATAGATATTTATCATGTGATAGCTCATATTATTTAATAGAGGTGCTACTAATATCACCACTGTGGTAATGTCTGTCTCCATTTTATAAAAAGATTATGAATTCAGGCAGTCTGGCTACAGAATCTATGCCTTTACATGTGCTCCAATTTGCATTGTCTGAAGACAATCTGGGGAAAAACAAATATAATACTCCACAGTATGGATGATATAATGGGGTGTTCTTTTCCCTTGTTCTCCACAGCAACCAAGAGATGTTTAAACTCTCCTCCCTGGATGTTACCCACGCTGCCTTGGTGAATAAATTCTGGTATTTCGGGGGCAATGAGAGGAGCCAGAGATTCATCGAACGCTGCATCCAAACCTTCCCCACCTTCTGCCTGCTGGGGCCCGAGGGGACCCTTGTGTCCTGGAGCCTGATGGACCAGACAGGCGAGATACGGATGGGGGGTACTGTGCCTGAGCACCGGGCCAGGGGTCTCGTCTCCTATCTCATGGATATTCACATCCGTGCTCTGGACAAACTTGACTATCCTACCTATTACCATACATTTACAAGCAACAAACACATACAGAAAATGAGTCACAGCCTGGGTCATATCCGCGTGCCCTGTGACTGGAACCAGTGGCACTGCGTGCCTCTGTGAGGCAGCCCTGAACACAAGACAGTGTTGGGTGGCCTGATGTGGAAGACTGGACAGGTGGGCAGAGAGGAAGAATAAATTGTAAACAGCAGTCAAGCCGTGTGTGCTGTCTGGACTCCAGGAGGAAGTGAGAATGGTCCACAGAACCACCACAGTCCCAACTCTCAAACCACTCAGGGACTCCCCTTCAGGTCCAGCAGACCTGGCATGGCCAGCCCTTCCTGCAATGGACCCTGGTCTTGTTCAGTTTCCTACACTGCTGGATCTCAGTGACATGCTTTATTCAGCTGCATGCTGCCCCAGTGCTTCTCCTGGACTCCCATCCTGCAAGTGGAGTATTGCTAATGAGCATACTTGGCCACTTTGCCAAGACATGGCATTATCTTCAGGGTAGTATAATTTTCCTCTCTCTTTCCTTTACCTTCCCTCTTCCCTGCCCCCACCCCCAACCAGCTTCACTGAGGTATAATTGACAAATAAGATTGTAATATATCTAAAGTATAGAACGTAGTTATATATATATATCATATACACACACACTTATGTACTGTGAGGGCCTCCCACAACCAAGGTGATTAATACTTTCATTAATTATTTCATATACTTACTTTTGTGTGTATGTGTGGGAGGGGGGGATGAGAACACTTAAGATCTAATCTCTCAGCAAATATCAGCGACGCATTACAGAATTTACAGAATTACCAGTGACAATCACCATGCTATACATGAGGTCCTTAGGACTTAACTCATCTTAAGACTGAAAGTTTGGGGATCCCTGGGTGGCTGAGCAGTTTAGCGCCTGCCTTCAGCCCAGAGCGTGATCCTGGAGTTCCAGGATCGAGTCCCACGTCAGGCTCCCGGCATGGAGCCTGCTTCTCCCTCTGCCTGTGTCTCTGCCTCTCTCTCTCCCTCTCTCTGTGTCTCTCATGAATAAATAAGATCTTTAAATAAAATAAGAGTTGCTTTTTTAAAAAAAAAAAAAGACTGAAAGTTTGAACCCTTGAACCCTTTTACCAGCCTTTCCCTATGCCCTCTACGTCCCAGCCCCTGGCAACTACCATTTGACTGTTTCTATGAGTTAGCCTTTTTTTTTTTTTTTTTTACGATTCCACATATAGGTGATACCATGTAGTATGTGTCTTTGTCTGGCTCATTTCACTAGCATAACACCCTCCAGATTCATTTACACTATCACAAATGACAAGATTTCCTTGTTATTTTGTGGTTGAATAATATTCCATTGTGTGTGTATGTCTGTGTGTGTGTGTGTGTGTGTGTGTGTATCACATCATCTTGATCCATTCATCTATCAATAGACACTTACCTTGTTTCCATGACTTGGCTGTTGTGAAAAATGCAGTGAACATAGGAATGCAGAAATCTCTCCTAGATAGTGATTTCATTTCCTTTGAATATACATACCCAGAAGTCGGACTCCTGAATAATACAGAAGTCCATTTTAATTTCTCAAAGAACTTCACACTGTTTTCCATAGTGGCTGTAATGATTAACATTCCCACCAACAGTGCACAGGGGTTCCCTTTTCTCCACATCTTTGCTAACCTGGTTAGCTCTTGTCGTTTTGGTAACACAGATGCTGACAGATGTAAGGTAATACTGTTTTTTTTTTTTTTATTTATGATAGTCACAGAGAGAGAGAGAGAGAGAGAGAGAGGCAGAGACACAGGCAGAGGAAGAAGCAGGCTCCATGCACCGGGAGCCCGACGTGGGATTCAATCCCGGATCTCCAAGATCGCGCCCTGGGCCAAAGGCAGGCGCCAAACCGCTGCGCCACCCAGGGATCCCAATACTGGGGTTTTGATGTGCCTATCCTGATGATTAGTGATGAGCATCTTTTCACATGCCTGTTGGCCATTTGTGTGTTTTCTTCAGAAAAATGTCTTTTCAGGTCCTCTGCTCATGTTTTGGTTGGATTACATGGGGTTTTATTTTGTTTTGCTCTTGAGCCATGAGTTCCTTATATATTTTGGATATTAATCTCTTATTAGATATATTAATTGCAAATATTTTCTCACATTTCATGTCATGCATTTTTTATTTTATTGATGGTTTACTTCCTTTGCTGCGCAGAAACTTTTTGGTTTGATATAGTCCCACTTGTTCATTTTTGTTTTTATTGTGTTCGCTTTTGGTGTCAAATCCAAAAAAAAAAAATGTTACAAACATCAATATCAAGGAATGTTTCTCCTAAGTCTTCTAGGGGTTTTATGGCCTCAGGTCTTATGTGCTTGTCTTTAATTTTGAGTTGATTTTTGTGTATAGTATAAGATAGCGGTCCAATTTTGTTCTTTTGCATGTGGATAGACAGTTTTCTCAACATCGTATATTGAAAAAACTGTCTTTTCACTATTATATATTTGTGGCACTTTTGTTGGAAATTACGTGACCATATATACATGGGTTTATTTCCGGGTTCTCTACTCTGTTCCAGTAATCTACATGTCTGATTTTATGCCAATATTATATTGTCTTGATTATTATAGTTTTCTAACATAATTAGAAGTCAGGAGGGACAATACCTCCTGCTTTGTTTTTCTTTCTCACCATCCTTTTGGCTATTGGGGTTCTTCTGTGGTTCCATACAAATTTTAGGATTGTTTTTTCTATTTCTATTGGAATTTCGATAAGGATTGCCTTGATAGGGATTGCTTTTGGTAGAATGGGCATCTGCACGACATTAATTTTTCCAGTCCATGGATAAATTTCTGTGCATCCACTTAAATTTCTTACATTAATATTTTATAGTTTTTAGTGTACAGATCTTTGACCTCCTTGTTTAAAACTATTCCGAAGCATTTTATTCTTTTTGTTGCTATTATAAAAGGGACTTTCTTAATTTCTTTTTCTGATAATTAATTGTTAGAGTATAGAAATGCAATTCATTTTTGTATACTGCTTTGTATGCAACTGTTTATTAGTTTTAGTAGGTTTATTTTATGGTGAAATCTTTAGGGTTTTCTCTTTTTGTATATATTTTTTGATTGGAGTTCAATTTGCCAACATATAGCATAACACCAAGTGCTCATCCCGTCAAGTCCCCCTATCAGTGCCCGTCATCCAGTCACCGTGTCCCCCCACCCACCTCCCCTTCCACTACCACCTGTTCATTTCCCAGAGTTAGGTGTCTCTCATACTCTGTCACCCTCACTGATATTTCCCACTCATTTTCTCTCCTTTCCCCTATATTCCCTTTCACTGTTTTTTATATTCTCCGTATGAGTGTAACCATATGATATTGTCCTTCTGTGATTGACTTACTTCACTCAGCATAATACCCTCTAGTTCCAACCATGTTGAAGCAAATGGTGGATATTTGCATTTCTAATGGCTAATATTCCACTGTATACATATGCCACATCTTTTCTTTTGCCCATTTCATGATTGGATTGTTTGTTTCTTTGTTGTTGAGTTTAATAAGTTCTTTATAGATCTTGGATACTAGCCCTTTATCTGATATGTCATTTGCAAATATCTTCTCCCATTCTGTAGGTTGTCTTTTAGTTCTGTTGACTGTTTCTTTTGCTGTGCAGAAGCTTTTTATCTTGATGAAGTCCTAATCGTTCATTTCTGCTTTTGTTTCCCTTGCCTTTATAGATGTATCTTGCAAGAAGTTACTGTGGCCAAGTTCAAAAAGGGTATTGCCTGTGTTCTCCTCTAGAATTTTGATGGATTCTTGTCTCACATTTAGATCTTTCATCCATTTTGAATTTATCTTTGTGTCTGGTATAAGAGAATGGCCTAGTTTCATTCCTCTGCACGTGGCTATCGAATTTTCCCAGCACCGCTTACTGAAGAGACTGTCTTTTTCCAGTGGATAGTCTTTCCTGCTTTGTCGAATATTAGTTGACCATAGAGTTGAGGGTCCACTTCTGGGTTCTCTATTCTGTTCCATTGATCTATGTGTCTGTTTTTGTGCCAGTACCACACTGTCTTGATGACCACAGCTTTGTAATACAACCTGAAATCTGGCATTGTGATGTCCCTGGCTCTGGTTTTCTTTTTCAATATTCCCCTGGCTATTCGGGGTCTTTTCTGATTCCACACAAATCTTAAGATGATTTGTTCTAACTCTGTGAAGAAAGTGCATGGTATTTTGATAGGGATTGCATTGAATGTGTAAATTGCCCTGGGTAACATTGACATTTTCACAATATTAATCCTTCCAATCCATGAGCATGGAATATTTTTCCATCTCTTTGTGTCTTCCTCAATTTCTTTCAGAAATGTTCTATAGTTTTTAGGGTATAGATCCTTTAGCTCCTTGATTAGGTTTATTCCTAGGTATCTTATGCTTTTGGGTGCAATTATAAATGGGATTGACTCCTTAATTTCTCTTTTTTACTCTCATTGTTAGTGTAGAGAAATGCCACTCATTTCTGGACATTGATTTTGTATCCTGCCACACTGCCGAATTGCTGTATGAGTTCTAGCAATCTTGGGGTGGAGGCTTTTGGGTTTTCTATGTACAGTATCATGTCATCTGCAAAGAGGGAGAGTTTGACTTCTTCTTTGCCAATTTGAATGCCTTTTATGTCTTTTTGTTGCCTGATTTTTGAGGCTAGGACTTCTAGTACTATGTTGAATAGCAGTGGTGACAGTGGACATCCCTGTCATGTTCCTGATTTTAGGGGAAAGGCTCCCAGTGTTTCCCTATTGAGAATGATATTTAAGGTGGGCTTTTCATAGATGGCTTTTAAGATGCTGAGGAATGTTACCTCTATCCCTACACTCTGAAGAGTTTTGATCAGGAATGGAGGCTGTATTTTGTCAAATGCTTTCTCTGCATCTATTGAGAGGATCATATGGTTCTTGTTTTTTCTCTTGTTGATATGGTCTATCATATTGATTGTTTTATGAGTGTTGAATCAGCCTTGCATCCTGGGGATAAATCCCACTTGGTCATGGTGAATAATCTTCTTAGTGTATAGTTAGATCCTATGGGGTAGTATCTTGTTGAGAATTTTTGCATCTGTGTTCATCAGGGATCTTGGTTTATAATTCTCCTTTTTGGTGGGTCTTTGGTTTTGGAATTAAGGTGATGCTGGCCTCATAGAATGAGATTGGAAGTGTTCTGTCCCTTTCTATCTTTTCGAACAGCTTTAGTAGAATAGGTATTATTTCTTCTTTAAACGTTTGATAGAATTCCCCTGGGAAGCCATCTGGTCCGGGACTTTTGTGTCTTGGGAGGTTTTTGATGACTGCTTCAATTTCTTCCCTGGTAATTGGCCTGTTCAGGTTTTCTGTTTCTTCCTGTTCCAGTTTTGGTAGTTTGTGGTTTTCCATAAATGCATCCATTTCTTCTAGATTGCCTAATTTATTGGCATATAGCTCCTCATAATATGTTTTTAAAATCGTTTGTATTTCCTTGGTATTGGTTGTGATCTCTCTTTTTTCATTTGTGATTTTATTAGAGTATTTTCTGTTTTGTTTTTAATAAGGCTGGCTAATGGTTTGTCTATCTTATTAATTCTTTCAAAGAACCAACTCCTGGTTTTACTGATCTATTCTACAGTTCTTCTGGTCTCCATTTCATTGAGTTCTGCTTGAATCTTTATTAACTCTCTTGTTCTGCTTGGTGTAGGTTTTATTTGCTGTTCTTTCTCCAGTTCCTTTAGGTGCAATGTTAGCTTGTGTATTTGATTTTTCCCAATTTTTTGAGGGATGCTTGCATTGCTATGTATTTTCCTCTCAGGACTGCTTTTGCTGTATCCCAAAGATTTTGAAAGGTGGTATCTTCATTCTCATTAGTTTCCATGAATCTTTTTAATTCTTCTCTAATTTCCTGGTTGACCCTTTCATCTTTTAGCAGAATGGTCTTTAACCTCCACGTGTTTTAATTTCTTCCAAATTTCTTCTTGTGATTGAGTTCAAGTTTCAGAGTATTTTGGTCTGAAAATATGCAGGGGACAATCCCAATGTTTTGGTATTGGTTAAGACCGGATTTGTGACCCAGTCAGTGGTCTATTCTGGAGAAAGTTCCATGTGTACATGGGAAGAATGTGTAATCAATTGCATTTGGATGTAAAGTTCTGTAAATATCTATGAAATCCATCTGGTCCAGTGTATCATTTAAAGCTCTTGTTTCTTTGGAGATGTTGTGCTTAGAATATCTGTCTGTTGCAGAAAGCGCCATGTTGAAGTCTCTCAGTATTAGTGTATTATTACCTAAGTATGTCTTTACTTTGGTTATTAATTAATTGATATACTTGGCAGCTCCCACATTAGGGGCATAAATATTCATGATTTTTAGGTCCTCTTGTTGGATAGATCCTTTAAGTATGATATAGTGTCCCTCTTCATCTCTTACTACAGTCTTTGGGATAAACTTAAATTTATCTGATATGAGGATTGCTACCCCTGCTTTCTTTTGAGAAAAGCAACCTTTTATTTTCCAATCTTTTATTTTCAGGCTGTAGGTGTCCTTACATCTAAAATGAGTCTCTTGTACACAGCAAATAGATGGGTCTTGCTTTTCTATCCAGTCTGAAACCCTGCGCCTTTTGATGGGGTCATTAAGCCCATTCACGTTCAGAGTTACTATTGAAAGATATGAATTTAGTGTCATCATAATACCTACTCATCCCTGTTTTTTTTTGAGTATTTCTTG